ATATATTTGAATCCACCAATCAAATTATATTAATTTTTAAATGACCTCATAGGTCATTTGGCCTTTCGAAATGACACGTGACTAGTCACTATTCATTTGAGTCATTTGGGTCATTTCAGGTCATTTACCAACCCTGCTAAGTTGTTCATAATTACTATCAATTTTTTTGCATATATTAAGTTGTAGAAAATAGAGAAGATTTTTCTTTACCTATTTCTCTAATTTATTAAAAAGAATCCACTCAATCCTTATGTCTTAAAATATTAATCTATGCAAGTTTGCTGAGCAGAACTTGACATCATTTTTCTAATAAATTTCTCAAGAAAATTAATTGATTTTAATTAATCACCCAAGCCTTCCTGCTGAAGTAAAAACATCTGAACATTTTTCAAGCTATTCAATGCCAAACTACCACTAACAACTGCGGGTTCCACACTATCATCTTCCTTTTCATCCTTTATCTCAGTATTTCCTTCATCTATAACTTTAACACTTTCATTATTTTTGAACACATAAGCCAGCTCCTTAATGATATGATTCTCTGGAAAAACTTCATAAACAATCTCCTCACCATTAAAATTTAAGAATTCATCAGTTTCTTTTGCATTTGGAAGACAAAGAGTATTCAGTGACCTAATAAAACCTTCAAGCCTTAAATCGCTAGCTTCAAAAGATTATCTGAAAGATTTGCACAAGATGGGAGAATTTCTGTATAATGCTAGCAATTGTGTATGGTTTTAGCTAAAACCTCCCCAACCCTTTATGATATATAAGATTACTTGTAAAACATCCATCTTCAAATCTGAATAAAATTACCTGCTTTAACTTGCTCCAACATCTATCTAATATTTTTTAAAAAAAAATTTTTTTTAAATTTGGATCCAATAGTTGTAATAAACTACTGTATCAGAATAAATTAAAGAGCAAAATTCAATACAAATATCCAGCCCCATTTCACTGATAGTCTGCTTCATTAACAGCCTTATTATTGTAGACTGTATTATGTAATTGGCTATCATTAAATAGACTATTAGTAAAACAGTGCTACCAGGATTGAGAATTGTAGCGAATAAATAAAATAATTTTTTTTTTTTTTTCGGTGTTAAGGTGATCTCTTTGGCCATAACTTTTTATTAGAAGTTAAGTTTCAGTTACAATGAGAGTACAACTAGCCACATATACAACTTTT